CTATGGTAATCTGAAAAAAGTATGCTCTGTGAATCCAGGAAAAAATTACTTCTTACTTAGCACTACGATGATCAGATCTTGCTGGAAATGTCACTATTTGATCAATTATTCCAACACAATGTCATCAAATGGCAAAAGATGCGGTGGACCTCGGCTGGTGCGTCATGAAAGACGTGGAGGTGATCGAGCTGAACAAGCGGACATCGGGCCAGGCCTTTGAGGTCATCCTCAAGCCGCCGTCCTTTGATGGCCTGCCAGAACTCAACACCTCCATGCCGCAGCGCCGCGACCCCTCCCTGGAAGAAATTCAAAAGAAGCTGGAGGCTGCCGAAGAGAGACGAAAGGTGAGGGCCAGAAAGGGAACGGTGTCATCTGGGCCAGCACTCCTTAGGGTTTTTGGTGCAGGCTATGACCAGTTCATGTCTAATCTGCAGGCAGTGTAGTTTTCCACTTGGATTTTTAAATCTTATCGCTCAATTAGTCCAAAAGATTTAAAAAGGGGAGAAAAGAATTTTAAATTGATAGTAAAAATATCATGAAATGTTAATGAAGTCTGTAATTCTCAACAATTGAAACTTGCTACTAGGCCTGCAACAACAGCACATTTTACTGGACAATACGCAGTCCCATAAATTATTATGATAAATAGTAATGTTGTTTTGAAATAATCTTCAAGTGATCTTGGATAATAATGCAATCAATGACTAATGACTAATAACCTGTAATTTTGTAACAAACATTATACAAGGGGATTGGAAGACATTTCAAATGTCCAAAATAAAACATACACAAAAAGTACCCAGTAGAATAATTACATATAAATATAACTTCCAGATAAGATTCAAATAATTTGACAAAAATGCAAGAAAGCTGATTCAGGAAAATGACCTGAAAATGACCTGAACTAATAGGAAGGTTTGGACACCTTCCTATTAGTTAAACATTTAAAGGGTCCATTCACAGTTTTTAAGGATTCTAGACTCAAAATCTGAAATGGCTAGACAAGTAAAAAAACAGAACAATGTTACTTTATATAAAACATAAATGGTATAAAATATTGTTTGAAATTTGTGACATATTCATTATTGTTTTGAAAATACAAGAAGTCATTATATTGCTTTTGTAGATTCAGATGAGCCTTAGATCAAGACATACATGAAAATACTGGCCGGAGCCATTTTACACTGATGACAGACTCCTCACAATTTATTTTTATAATCTCGTCTTTCCTCGTGAGCCAGTTAAGTCATAATGTTAAGTCAAGCTCTAATGCATGCTGCACATTGTCTGTATTGCGGTATTCATTTGTTGTGAGAGACGGCTAACTACAATGGTTTTGAGGTAACCAACTATCAACTTAACCATCTATAGCAAAATGTATTGCGATTTAAAGGCCTGCTGCAACGTTTTGACAGAAGTTGGTCTAAGATGGCCGAAATCTAATTTCGTTTTGACCAAGCTCTGATTTCAACAGAACCTGAACTATCCCTTCAGCCACGGTTATTGGTTGCTGTGCAAGAGCAAAAGAACAGGAAGCGGAAAGTAGAGGGAGGCCTTGGGTGGCGCGAAAAGAAAGAGGGACACAGAAGTACAAAGATGCAACAAACACCATGGAAGAGACATTTTTGTCCATCGACAGAATGATTCGGTTTGTAGAAGCAACAAACAAGTATGATGGGAAATTACTGTGAAGTCCTCTGTCTCCCTCTAGTGCCAGGAAGCTGAGCTACTGAAGCACTTGGCAGAGAAGAGGGAACACGAGCGTGAGGTGATCCAGAAGGCCTTCGAGGAGAACAACAACTTCATCAAGAACGCCAAGGAGAAGCTGGAGCAGAAGATGGAGGCCAACAAGGAAAACAGGGAGGCCCTGTTGGCGGCCATGCTTGAGAGGCTGCAGGAGAAGGTAGGACCCAGCAGGCTGCGGTCTGACCAAATATATGTACTTCCAAGCAGAGACGAGTCCCTAAACAGAAATCTGTATTTCACTTCTGTCTACATTTTTTCCCCCATGAAACAAATCATTGAATCCGAGGAAACGTGAAGCGTTCTTGATCAAAACAAGAGGGAAACGAGATCACAGCAGGGTCTGATTTTTTACCACCAAGAGTTTTGAATGTTTTTGGAATGTTTTTGCAGCCTGGTGTGGAATTCCACAAGCTCTTTGAAGCTTCATCCAGTCATTTGGCTTCACGCATTTTCTACTGATTGTTCTCGCTCTGACTAATCTGAGTTTCCGCTGAAAAAGCTGTTCAATATTTGCTAAATTCGTGTTGCTTTTCAGCACAAGGTTCAAACTGACTTTAGTTTTCCCTCAACTTTAATTCTGAAAAAAGCTTTTCTTACAAAAATAAATAAATAAATAAAAAATCTCTCTAACTTCTGGATTTAATTCTGGACTTCCAGTGTATCACACTGCAAATGTTTGACTTAAAAAAATTTCTCACTCTTTCAGTCTGCTTTCTAAATTATGCATATACGTATCTGAGAAAGATGAACATTAAGTAAATGTCATTGTTTACATCAGTGACTAGTTTACCACTTATTAATCAAGACAAACTTCTCAACACCTACAAGCATGTGGTTTACTTAGAGCTGTGGGAAAGTGTTGAGTTGCCCTAAATGACTCAGCCGTGGTCACAGATCAAAGCTGTCACTCAAAATCTGAACTTTTCCATTTTTATACCTATACCCATGTGGCATCTGACAAGCAGCATTTAAAAACGAATGATACCTCCTACACTGCATTTAATCATGTTTAATTTTAAATACAGTTACTGTGTGCTGTTCAGATACAAATAACATTTCTTTATGGGACTGATGTCCTGAAGAAGCGCATTATAAATGGGTAAGAGTAGCATTTGAGTTTATGGAGGTTCGATTTTTCTGTATGAGCAGTGCTGTTTCAGATTTGACAGGGATAAAATACTATTGCAAGACAAACTGAATCAGAAATTAATGTTGACAATGTCTGAAAATCTAAATACAACCCTAGAGAAGACTTTCCATCACTTTAAAAAATTATTCAGAGGCTTGGATCTATAATCCTCAATGTTGGATGAGGGTAAAAAAAAACAAGGTGAATTTAATATCCGTTTCTATCCTCACAACTATTACCGTTGAAGGAAGCTGTGCTTCCACTGTGGTCCGAGTCATTACCGTGAATGATTTCCTGAATGGTAATGACTCGTGTGTTTTCCCTCATTCGGTGTCTGTCTGTGTCTGACAGGATAAGCACGCAGAGGAAGTCAGGAAGAACAAGGAGATGAAGGAGGAGGCGTGCCGATAGATCCGACGGAGTCGAGAATAGAGACCCAAAAGGGAACAAGAGCAGCGCAAAAAAAAAAGAAGAGAAAAGGGGACTTAACAGTGACTTGAATGAGCTTTTAAGAAAGGCTTTTAAACTTGATGTGTGATGTAAGACTTCTTATGCTGTACAAAGTTTAGCCAATGCTTGATGTAGATTTCTCTCGATCTTTCGCTAAGGGAAACCGGATGGGGGTAGGCTGGGTGGGTGGGTGGGTGACAACATTAACACCAACAAGTGTTCAACAGTTATAATTTCTTCTTTGTTGCAGAATGAGGCAAAATCTAATTGCAGCTCCTTCTTCTTTGTAGTTTCTGTCAGAAAGGAGGAAATTAAACTCACCTGAGTTTAGTTTCTCCCATTACTGTATGTTGGTTTTGCAGCAACACAGACAGAAAGATGAAGTCTCTCCAAAGAGACTGCCACTCTGGAACATGGAGCTGTAATTTGAATTGTTAGCTCTGTAAATGGGGAGTGACTTTCTATAAACTGGCCTTGGAAAAACAAAACAAAACAAAGAAAAAAAATTCCTGGAGCCTTGTTCCAACACAACAAATAGAAATCCAAAAGCTGTTTATGGTTATGACTCACCAAAAAGTATGAATTTTTTTTTCTTTTCCAATGTTGTTTGTGAAATAGGGCGTGAAAAAAAAAGCGTAAGAAGTAAAGGGTTCATCTGCCATTACCAGGCTCTGTGAAATGTTTGTGTAGTGTAGTATTACATTCAAGTCTCTTTGACGCTGATTGCACTCTTTTTTTTTATTAAGCACAACTCAAAAGCACACATGCATACCAGATTTCTCATAAACAGTGAAGCTGAAAAGACAAAGGAAAAGGCAAAGCAGTGATTAACCTCAGTTCACAATTTGTCACCATTCCACAGGTTAAATGTTGAGGTCTGTTTGTTTGGCGAGAGTCTCTGTGCTCTGATTGTTTCTTTTTCATTTTGAAGATGAATTGAAACCAAATTAGAATATGCAGGAGATTGAAATGTGTCCAAACAACTGAGTCATACAGACTTTATCCTGGCTTGACTTAAATCGTCTAAATGTTTGTACTGTAACTGGGGAGGAAACAAGGTGGCTTTGGACTTGCTGTAACTGTGTGTTGATGTGTATCTGGAAGGAGGGTCTGATTGTACTCATTTGGCATGATTAGTAAAGAAAGAAAAGCTTACATAAATTCATGGCTTGGTCTCTTTATTTTCTGGATGATTAGCTCTAATGTATCAGAATTGAAGTCCAAAATATAATTTTTCATGGATTATTGCAAGAAACATGAATTTACAAGAAACATGAGGAGAATTTACAATCTGTCATCAATATGTATATGTGATGAAATTGTCCTTTCACACAGGCAATAATTTTCAGCCTATATATATATATATAGGCTGAAAATTATATATATATAGTTATATATATATATATATATATATATATATATATATATATATATATATATATATATATATATATATATAGTTATATATATATATATATATATATATAGTTATATATATATAGTTATATATATATATAGTTGTTAATATATATATATATATAAATACTGTATATAGATATATTTATATAGATATATATACATATCAGATATAACTGCAAAGACATATCTAACAAATATGAATCTCTGTTGATTAAACAAAATTATAAACAGAATAAACCATACACCAAAATAAACATTCATAAAATAACCATATTTATACTACAATTTGTCAGAAGAGCACAATGTTATACCATCCCAACAGAGTGCAATACAGAACACATTCCTGCTATTAAGCATAAGGTAAAAGGCAATTACTTGCTTTATTTTTTTTTATTGATTGTACATTGCGCACTATCAGGTAACATAAAATGCATTATTTTATATATACATGTATGTTTTGCAGTGAATTTGTGGCACACTGAATCTAAACATAAAATATTGCCATAATGACATAGTGGCTCTAATATCTGGCTTTGGCTGAAAATAATTAGTCATGTTTTGTACAAGTTGACTTGTAGGGTATTAGCCAAAGGTAAAAACATCAACTAAACAAAAAAAAAATGGCAAAAAAATAAATAAAAAATTCCCTAAAAATGTTGTATCATGTTTCACAACATTCCACATTCATAACAACTGTGCTTGGGAAATGTGAACTTGAAAACATTTCAACTTATCCAGTCAGAGAAAAATAAAGTAATAAAGGAAATAAAGATGATAAAAACGTAGAATCTTCAAAAAGCAGATCTTTTTCACTGCGACCACATTTGTTGTGAGGAGGACATCTATGTAATCTACTATCATTTCCACACCTGATGTATGAAACTTCTTTATGAAACCCTATTTGAATAGATTTAATCACTTAAAACTCATTTTGTTTACAATTTGCTTCTCAGTGATGTACAAAAATGCATGGCTGTAAACATACAGCATTTCCCTTCTACAGAGTTAATACTGCGGAATACATAATTAATCTCCTGCAAAGCAAAGCCGCCAAAGAGTCTTTCGACACAAAACTTGCGGAACGAGCATCACATACTTCAGACACAGATATTTGGCAGTACAAAAGAGTTTAAAACATTTTATTTTTGTTATTCTCAAGTCATTAAAAATTGATCAAATCTCTTGCAACACTGTGCAGAGGCTTTGTCTGCACTAAAGAGGATTTCCTCACATCAGCATGCCAGATGTTTTAACTGTCTCCAACAGCAGAGAGTTGTTATTAGGTTACGAGCTAAAATAATTCAGCTAATAGTTTTGACTATTTGGGGGCACTCAGGCTGTGCATAAAGTGTGAAATTCAGATCAGGTGTTTATTAAAATTGAAAAAGACAAAAATATATATATATATATATTGACAGCAATGTCATGGCAAAAGAAACATTATATCTGTCCTGACAGAGTAGTACCCTGTAAATTTTAAACTCTTTGTTCCAGTGAAAACAGGAGAGCATCATAAGTGGCACAGATGAGAAAGAATTTCTGCAATTTTTTGCTTCATTTCTTAATGTTGACAAAATTATAGATGAATCGACATACATAGCAGGAAAAGCAACACAGTGAAAACAGCTGGCAGTTAGGTTTTAAAAACACAGCTGCTTTTAGGCACCAAAAATACACTGACAAATTTATTGGATAAAGGTGATTTGCTTACAATACAATAAATAAATGAATCAGTTCTCTCAGCCTAAAGTGTTATGCAGTACAGACTACCTGACAAGATATTCAGGACACTGGTTATGTAGACAAGTAACAAGTCACAGTTATTAAAAATACTTTTTATATCTACAGTCAACTATGCCGTTGAAACCAGATATTTACATGCATTTTTATTCCTGTTTGATATTAAATCTTAAATAAATTGACTTGTAATTGGACAAGTTAAAAATGAAAGCTTCTAGGAGCATGCTAGAAGAATGAAAATTCACTTTTTTGGAGATATTTTTGTTTTACTTTTTATGTAGTCTTTGATTTAGTCATTAAGACTACAATGTCTTTAATTAATTTTACAAAGCCTTCAAAAGGTTTACTTAAAACTTATGCATTTTGAGGCATGTTCAACACACCCCTGGACTGTGTGACATCATGGACATGTTTAAAGAAATTGATCAATACATCTCAAAAAACAGCCGTGAAAATCCATCAGTCCGGTTCATCCTTCAGTACTATTTCTGTTCAAATAATTATATTTGCACATAAAGTGTGTGAATCCAAAAATTATGTCATGTTCTTGTGAGATTCAGCAAATAGAAAAAAAAATCAATGTAGTTCAAACTAACTATAAAATATAGTTGACTAAATAGCCTTTTTTCATGCAGCATATAAAAATATCTATTGTCAACTGTACAATTTTTAAAATTGACATGAATAATATAAGTAACCAGAGCTTTTGTTGGATGTCTTGTTGTTACTCTTGTGGTATCACAGTGGGTCTCACACAGGTACAGCCAACCGTAATCTCCTCAGTCCCCAGCATGAAGATGTACTTATTCTTCTTCTTCCCTTTTTTGTTGATCTTTCTTTTCTTTAGGGCTCTGCAGGGGGATATAAAACAATGCTGGTAAGTTTCATCATTTTGTACATGGACTGAATGGTGGGTCCTGGGTTCAAATCTCACCTCTTGGGTTCTGCTGATGTAAAATTTGCATTTTCTCCTGCTGCATTTGGATCAATGTTTCTCAAACTCTTTTAGACTGTAAACCACTTAACCTTTTAACAAAAACTCACACACCCCCTGACCTTAAATTGTTCATCTTAATACATACAACATGAAATGAAAATATTAGTCTCTGAACTCACTTATTGTTAATCCTAATGAGAATGGTAGCGCTGTTTTGTAAATGTGATTGATAACAACAAAAAAGAGGTCACATTTTAAAAAAGTCATTCTGTAGCACTTTTGAGTCATTTACAGATTCTGAAACTGTGGATTTTAAAGTTTCCAATTATATCAAACAAAAATTGTCCTGATAGTTCACTATTACCAGTATAAGTGTGTGTGGGTGGGCGTATAGGTGTCTTTTATGTGCATTTCTATTGACTCTATTCCACTTGCAAGTCACAAACAGTTTAATGTCCCATTCAGTTCTGCCCCATATTTTCTTTAGTGTTCCTCACTATGGGCAGAACGTGAGCGTGCAACAGCTGTGTTCAACTCCCTGTTGGTGTTTGCAGCAACACTCAGGAATGGAGAACCTCAACGTTATGGTTCTTATGGACTCAAATAAACCCAGATATTTCATTTTGTCTTTTAGAAATTTATTGCTGGCTTTAGCATAATGATGAATTCTCAGATTAGCTGATTATTTCCCTGTATAGAAACATATTTACATTCTGGCACTTTACTTTTTTAAATGTGCAACATTTTGGATTATTGAATTTAGGTAATACAGTCAAAAGATGGAAACCAATAGCCACACCTGAACTATTTTTTTAACCCAAAGGAAATATAAATTCACATGTCAAGCTAATATTATGTAGCTTCAGTGTTTCACACTGCAGTTCTGTCAGAATGCTGACCATATCTTCACTGTTTTTCTAAGAAATACTTTGATTGAAATAGATAATATTTTTAAAAATTTTTGTTTCTGTAATAAAATTACCCATAATGCAGATTCTTTACTGCATGTTAGATTCTTATCATGCAAAGTGGTCTTTAACCCAGAGGCAACAAAACCTGCAAAAATGCAGCGGCTTCACAGCTACTCTCAACACAAAGCCTAGTCTGGGATTATATGGACAAAAGCATTTCCCAGAGATATAGATGGATTCACAACCCCCAAAAAACAAATTCATATGCATACCAGTAAGTAGTATGGTACCATTTTAACATCATGTCTCCACTGTAAGGTGGCTAGGGTGCTATTTTAAATTCATAGCCTCTAATGCTGTTAGCTTTTTAAAGTATTTCTTCTTCACAGACGATCTCAGCTGTTTTTCTTCCACCCTGCTTCCACTGGGAATGTGTTAAATAGATCTTCTGAATCACATTCCTAACTTTATAACTTTGCTTTTTATGGCTTCACAGCACACAAACAGATCTATAAACGTGACCTATGCAAGAAACTGGAGGTAAAACAGCGAAATGAAGCTTCACTTCCCACATCAGAGGCTCACCTGTATAGAACCAGGACTTGATATTTGATGGGCTTGACCTGCAGAGTTGCATCGTCTCCTCTACCCTGGAGGTTCAGACAGCTAGATGTGCTGCAGTTGGCCTGCAAGATCCTTTGGGGTAAACGGGAAGAGTTGAAAGAATCTCTAGAGAGAAAGATTTTTTAAAAATCGATCAGTTCAAAGGAAAACATTTGATCTGTTCATCAGTTTTTCTGCAGGTAACAAGTAGTAAGCAAAATGGCAACCAGAAAAGTTGGGAGAAAGCACCAGAGTCATTGGTTTGTAAAACAATAATTGAATAAATTTTTTTGAAAATTGTTTCTTAAATATTCATAACCTAATCAATGTCACAGTACAATGCTTTGGTTCATTTTTAGTTGTAGGATACAAAAGTATAAGAAGACTAAAGCTACTACTATAACTAATAAAAACTAAACTAAAGTTAAACAATATTTATGTAACAGTAACAAATAAAAACTAGCAAACACATTGTCAAAACTAATCACAACTAAGTGAATTAGACAAACAAAATGTCACAATGAAATGAAACCAAGCTATGATAAAAAAATAAAATAAAACTATTACAACCCTGTAGAGGAGTCTCAAATATTCACAAATCTTAGCCATTTATGGACAGCTGTTGCCTGTAACAACAGACTACTGAGGCTCCATTGAAGTCCATTAAAACAGGAGATTAGAACAATTCAATTGTTTGACAATGGAAAACAGTGTCTGTTTGGAAACTACCAAAGCAGCAGTGATTTAAACTGCACTTGCTGCTCAAATCCCAAGAAAATAGCCCAAAATTATACTAGTTAAATAAGTGAATATACACTTGCTTTGTACAAATGTCATATAACTGTGGTATTGTTTTTAGTCAAGGTTATCCAATGGTTAGAATTTCATACCAACCAATGCTGGCCATTTTGCCGCTTCCCCATTTTGGCCACTTTGGTTTTTGTGACTGAATTATTTCAATTATAAAATGCCACCGTGTCCCACCGAAGAATCGTAACCGGCAATAATCAGTTTGTTCATGGCGAGAAGGACGATTCATAGACATTTTGACAGCTGTTTCTGTCTTTAACTTATAGAATAGTGTAAGAAAATGTGGTTTCCTGACTGATGGATGTAGAAAATCATAAATGTTTTCAGAGTATAAAATTACATGAAATTAAATTAGACTGTTTCATTAGTAAAGATTGATGATTTTATATATATATTCTTTTTAAAAAAGGTAGAAGAAAGGGACAAGATGGCAAAGCACATGTAAAAGTCTGGCAAAGAGGTGAATTTACCAGGAGCTCATCTTAATTTACAGCCAGTTGTTCACTGAAAAAACAACTACTAAATAATTTCTCCATATGACTCAGGGAGAACATTCCACAATATAGAAATCTGACTGAGAAACATGCTAAATCATCCTATTGAAGTTCAGATGTTGCAAAACCACAAAGTTGTTTCTTTTCCCAATCCTTTTTTATGTGTCAACAATAACTTGTCACATAAAGGGCAGGATTAAAATTCCTCTTGACTGTGGTTGGGGTGTCTTTTTATTGTATAAAAAACCCAGAAAAGATCTAAAACACAATAAAAACACGTTCTTCTGTCACCACGCAGGAAGGAGTTAAATGGGACCTAAAATTAAACTTTCATTTAGTAATTTTGGAGGTTTTGGTTTTACTCATTGCAGCAACAAAAAAATAGCTCACACAAATGAGATGAAAATTAGTTCCAAACTTTTAAAACTTCTCCAATTTCAGAAATAAAATGCTGACTTCCTGAGGAAATAAATTACATCTAAAATTACCTAGAATCCCCTTTTTAAAAGTTATGACTATAAACTCATCTTTACGCCCTTCTCTTTCTTTCAACCTTCACAGTCTATAGAAAAATATAGCCATTGTCAATGGAAAAGAATCTGAGCCATGCAGTGGGTCGTCAGCCAGATGTGGACCGTCTTCTCAGCCAAAATGCGTTCATGCTGGACTCAGCCCCAGGCGAACAGCACATCATTGGTTCCAGATTTCAGACGTTTGAACCCAAGACGTTAAAGTGCGGGGATCTGAAAAGCAACGCAGCGGGGTGTGTGGGGTTTCCTCACATGTACGTCCACGGCGACAAAGACAAGTTGGCGATGTTTGACGCAGAGCTGTGGGAGAGGTACGATTTCACGGAGGAATCCAGGGCCAGTTGCAGCGTTTTGCCCCTCGGACTGAGCTGCTGCACCGAGATGATGCGATTTTTGCTGGCGACGGGAATCACCCAGACAAAACCCAGCAGAAGGAAAACTCCCGTCATCTGAAGAAGTAAAACATCAGAAAGCCGGAATCAGGGCATTTCTAAGTGTTGTACATTAAAAACATCTGTGCAGCTTTGGGCTACTTTTAAACTCTGATTAGGGTGATTTGAGTGGATTGAAAATGAACATTTAATGTAAGAAAGTGCGACACCTAAGTAAACCACTGTTTCAGAATAGTTATGTCACATAACCCTTAAATTCACCCTGTGATAAAATCTCCTGGTGATTGATGAGAGATGGAGATAAGTAAAGTACTCTGACTCACCAGCATTATGACTGAGTCCTCTCAAACGTTTCAGCTTCAACTGCGGCGCTCCTGTTCTGTCCTGTGTTTGATCTCAGCCAGTGTTTATATGCAGGCAGGCGGTGTTGGGGTGTGTGCTGTCAACTTGTGCGGCGAAGCGCATTTCTGCCATGCCTTAGCAGATTTTCGAAGACCGCTAAGACTTTTTCTTTGTTATTCTCTTTTTTTGTTTGTTTCTTTTCGTCCACATCCATGTGTTTCCCTTTTCACACACACAAAAAGTTCCCCTGCAGAAAACCTCAAAGGCAACACCGTCATGAGTCTGTCAAAAAAGTGTGAAAATGTTTCTTCACCTACAAACCTCCATTCTTTTCTTTCAAAAGTTCACTTCCTGCTGGTTGCATAAGAAACCCCCGTTTTTTTTTTTTTGCAGAAAGAGGCTTTTTGTATACATGAAAAGACACATAAAAGCAAACAGGTTTGCAACTGATTGCCCATTTCTTTAAACACTGCAACTAAAATCCCACTTTTTCCAGCTGTTGACGTTATTAAAATGAGCGTGGACACCCTTCACTCTGGTCCATCTCAACATTGACTTCTTCATTTTTATTTTTTATTTTTTTATTAGCTGACTAAATTGTTTACTGGTTTACTTTTATAGCAACCCCTACACACTGCCAACGCAGCCTAAACAATGTAGGTCAAGGAAATGCTGACGGAGCTTCTTGCAATAAATCAGCATAACTCCAAAGGCAAACAAAATGATAACATCTCTTCATCTCACGCCTCACATATGAGTAAGGACCCGAAAAACTGGAGCAAAGTTTGTTCTGGACAAAAGAGAGAGCAAGAGAGACCCGCTTGTCAGTGACAACCGGGCACCAGCCTGTAGCTACAGATCAACGAAGTGTTCAGAGAAAATGAGGTGAACGCACAATAAAGTTGAAAAAGGTGAAAGAGTCAGGTCTGCATCTTAGCAAAGCTCCAAATTAGCGACGCTAATAGTTCAAATACAAGCACATAGAGGAAAAGTAGTAAACATACATAAGATGACAAATACAAAGCATAATCCGAACAGAGCATATTAATGTTTGAAATATAAAAATAAGACCCCAGATTGTTTGTTGTTTGGGAATATCAACCTTTGTGGCTGCGTCAGTTTTTATATAAATATATAATTCGAGTAACAATGAAATGAAAAATATTTGATGAACTGCAAAGATCTGCCAAGGATTGTTTGGTCATCTATTTCTCATTACTGCAAAATTCTTATGAAATCAAACTTAAGGGAGCAAAAAACTCATAACTCCTTGTTTTGATGGATGCTTCTCAGTTCTCCTGCCAAAATGCACCTTTTCCGTTCCAAGCAGTTCCCAGTGCACCGTCCCGCTAAGCCAACCAGGGGCTGTTTTTGGCCGTGTTTCAGCAAACCTATTTCCTAAATTGAACAAAAATCGAAAAGCATTTACAAACCTTTACTTTTCCATCAGATTTAATGAAAGTGAAAGTGATTAAACATCTAAAGAAGAAACAAAAAGATGGCGTTTGTGAGGAGCAAGAGCTGTGCTGGTGTAAAATGCCAAAACAAGGAATGAATGATTTGACACAATAAAATGAGAGCAAGATAAATATCTAATTGGGGTCAGAATCTATTTTTCGATGCGCTGCGATGCAGAGATGGATGATTAAAACACAGAGTGTTGTGGCCCTTTCTTTCCATGAAACAACCAACTCCCACGCACGACAATAACGTCAAAACAAAGTAACAGAACAACAAGCGGGGAACTCAGCTTCAACTTGAGATGCATGAACAGCTGCTGCCAAGGCACCTTATGTCACCACAACTACGCTTTTTCTGCTGGTAGCGTTTTGGGTTTCACTGCTCTGACCCAGAGAAGGTTAGTGAAGGAAAGTAATACATGTCCCAATAGAAATGGATTTAGTTTTCTAAAAAATTGTTGTTAGTTTGGAATTATGTTCTGCTTTCTGAGCCGCTGTACTGATGTCTACACTGAATCCAGGCTTATGTAACCTTTTTAATTATAATGGATTAGCGTTTTCTCAAGTCCATTCACTCCAACGCACCGCAAGATACAGTCAATGTTACTCATATCCGAGATTTTGCTTTTCGGTTCGTACCCAAATCTTTTGACCACAGGTGAGGGTGAGAACAAGATGGATTGGTAATCTGAGTGTGGGGTTTTTGGTCCATCTTTCCTTGAGAAACACCCCCACACTACTGGCTGATTAAGCTCAAATCCATCTACCCACCACCAGGTACATCCTGCTCATTTTTCTGACCAAAGCGAATTTGAGAACATCAGTTCGTCCAGAATCGCATCTGCAGACTTGTTCACCAAACGATGTGCAAAAACACCGAAAGACAACGCAAGAGGTTTCCATAAGTTTTTACTTATGCCTGTGATATGACTAATATCACACGGCTAGTTGTTTTTGTACGTGGGGCCACAACAGACGTTGGGTCCGCTAGCTATGAAATAACCAAATGAGAAGATCTGTTCCATCATGTTCACCCGGACAAATTTGAACTGTCATTTGAGAAGCTAAGTGGCCTCGCTACAGATGGAGCACCAATAGGGATTGTCTGATTGAATTAAAAATAAAATGAGCCGCCGTCTGGATCTTTTTTATTTAGTTATACGCCGCTGTCTTGTGCATCCAGAGAATCTGTGCGCTCATGTTTGAGGATGAGCGAGACGATGGCAGCTATTGTTTCTATTGCAAAATTTATCACAAGCAGATGGAGAAAAAGGCTTCAGTTCAGGAAGACTATAGCCCTATATACTAATGCTGATGGCTCATGTGGTTTTCTTGTTTTGACCTTCTGACAGCTGACAATACGGAGAACAATTAACATTTTTCAGTCCAGCACTTTATGGAGAAAAAAAAAACACATTATTCTTCGTAGGCAGACATCCTCTAAAAACTAAACTCCCGGAGAAACAGACCTTAATCACTAATCTAAACACATTTCATTGTGGCTGTTTTGCCTTCTGGTTTAATAAGCAATTTAAAATAATTTTTGTCCAAGTTCAACAAAATTTTAGATGTTTTTTTTGTTGTTGTTGTTGTTGCTGTTGATGGTGTGTTTATTTTTAACATAATTGAATGAATGATGGCACGTTCAGTTTTTTTCGTTTTTTTTATTTTAAACACCAAATCTGGTATTTTTAGAGACTTCCACTCCATTGTGGGCGTGTCCCGTCTTTCGCCTCTCACCACTGGAGAAAAGCAACAAGTCATTTTAAATTGAAAGCTTATTTAGTCGTGTGCTTCATTAATTACTGAACTGCACTGGAATTATCTGTTTTAATTCCAACGATGTATCCATTTCCAGTTTTATTTAAACTACAAATGATTATAAATCTTTTCTTTTTTGGACCCTGGACTTTTGGCCTTCAACACTTTAAGAGGGAGCAACCAATTCTCTGCCTCTGCACTGTGCGTCTTCTGTGCAAGATGTAGGTTGGCAAGATGTGGGCTTCTGTGAGCACACTGCGCACTACATTGTAGGTATTGAATTACATGAAGGAAAATGTTTCATACTTAATTAATTTGACAAATACTCATTTGGATTTAAAAAGTGAGGGACATCTAGAAACATCACAAGACTGCTGAGTTACTGAACGTTCTCAACTTTTTCCAATAAGTTTCTTCTAATCAATAAAATACCAAAAAAAAGATCTCCACATGTATTGCTTAAGCAGTAATAAGGTTTATTCTGTGTTCTGCTTTGTTGTTTTTCACTCAGTGTGTCAAATTAGAAATTTACCATGACCTCAGCTGAACTCACACTGCGATGCATCATAGAAATAAACCAGACCGTTTTTTCACTTTTCCCGTCCTCCGTCACGAGGTCTACTTTTTCACCACAGCATGTTTAAATCTTAGTGAAGCAAGTGAGATATGGATTCCAGACATCAGAAGAATGCACATGAAGTTGGTCGTGGGCCAAACTTCATGAAATGAAACGTCTCCAGCTAAGTTTTCGAAGATGCCCGTAACATCCAAGTCAACTGCATGGTCGAGAAATCCAAGGGAAATCAGTTCCTTCCATTGAATTTGAGAAGTTCAGCCAGAATCAAAAAAAATAAATCAAATATCAGCTGAAGACTAACGTTGATCCACAGAAAACAATCAAATCTCCGAAGGGTCAAGTTGCAGAATTGAGAGCGGAGATGAAGAATCATCGTCATAAAGGTTCCTCACGAAAAAGAGCAATCGTGTCCCTGCGAACCGACGACTCCAACTAAACAGAGGCGGCCAGGCGAACAGAAACAGAGGTGTTGGAGGCGCCCACCATGATCACAGGAGACTGAACACTAACAGAGGCCTCAAAGCAAAGCCAGGCAAGCACGCAAACCCTTGCCACTACAAAAAATGTAGGCAGCCATCCAAACGCAAGATCGCATGCAAATAGACGACATTCCTGTAACAGAAGCCAGTAGTAAAAAACAGCTTCAAGCAATTAGAAACATTTGATCACAAACTGAGTTTCACAAACCAAGAGTTCTGTTGTTTCTGTTGCAGTCACCACAGTGATTTTCATGGTGTGGGCTTCACCCCGACAGGAGGACAAAAGACACATTCTGATGTTTATGTGTCATTTTTGCAACTAAATTTGCTGCATAGTCCTCTAGTAACAGGTCATGCTACTCAGATACAACATCAGAGTTTCCACGGCAAATCCAGCTTCAATTTGGTTGTTTTTTTGGGTTTTTTTACACTGATTTGTGTCAAATGTGGGTGTCGAGCTCAAGGCCTGTTTCATATTTACTAAAAGCGCAGAGATTCTGTTGAGCAGAAGCGATTATTTGTCACATCTTCAGCCTGATCAAAGTTGTGAGAGCAGACTGAAAGTCTCGGCGTACGCCTGAAGAGATGCTGCAGTGATTGCTGTGAAGCACTTCTACCAAAGATGTCAATCTGAACAAAGTTCACCAGACAGGATTCACAGCTTAATAAAATCCAAATGAGAGCATAAAATGGATCCGCAAACCCGCGACGTCACTTTGCAACGTGTGCGGAAGCAAACGTTGACAAAGGATCTTCCCCCTTTCCCT